TGAGATAAAAATATGCTGGAGTAAAACTGGGGTAAACTGGAGCAGCTTTAAGCAAAACTGGAGTGGCTCCAGAGTGAGCCCAAACCAAGTTAGAGTAAGTGAAGAAATAGCTCAACCCAACCCACTCGAACCCAACCCATTAACAACCCTAATATTATTAGAGTTGTTATATCTTTTTATTAGAGATATTACTTAGAATTACAACTAGCTATATATGAACTTTTGGTGCCTAATTTAAGTAGCTGTCTGAAAATTTTGCACTTGCTATTATACCTGCAATCTAACTATAAAGTAATCTATTTAAACCTCTGGTTTTAATCTTACTTTCACAATGTAGAATTCCTAACTCTGTATATAGGATTTCAATTTATATCTTAGAACTAGTTTATTTTTAAAGTAAATTTACTAGAGCTTTCTATATTTTATATCTTGCTAACCAAGTTATTTGCAATCACTAAGGTTTTTATTTGTAGTTGAAATAAACTTATTTAATTGCTATACTCTTGTAAAGTTTATTTAAAATTCTAGTATCTATATATTACACTTTTTTTAATTTATAAACTTCTTTTCTAACTTTTAGAGCATTCCAATTTAATAGCTTTGGGGTTGGGTTTGCCAAACTTTCAGTTTATAGTTACCCCAATACTGGTATATAAATAGAATCTGACAATAAGTCAAACAAGAGTACTAACAAAAACTCTGTTTTATACTATATAATATCTAATAACTCTGTTAATATATATAATACTGTTACAAATAATATAAATAATAATGCAATACCAATACAAATATAACTACAGTATTATTACCAAATACTAATAATATTACCAAACCATTATATCTAGATCTTGTATTTCTATTAACTAGATTACTACATCTATTATCTCTGCATCTATCTCTATTTTTAGTACTACAACTTATATAGTCAGCTTTAACACTAGTTATAAAAGAGCTAAAAATATATTACAACTTCTAACAAGACTACTAAAACTGCATTTTAACTATTTTCAAATTACAAACTATAGCTAAACTACTACAATCAAATATTTATATAGTTAGATAACCAAAACCAATCTAACACTTCTTGCTACTAATGCCTTAAATAATATAAAATATATTACAATAATATATAACAAGAATTTATTATACTATTTGACACCAAGATATAGTTATTTGATAATATTGCAAAGGCTCTTGAAATCCCAGAAAGTATCTTTAACTTTGTTAACTACAAACTATCTACTATTTCTACTTAATACAAGTTACCAGCAACTATTGTTCTCAAATTTACTTATTATAATATTTAATTCTTCACTATATTTATTTGTAACTCTAAAACTACCTCAGCTTACTAAAATAATACAATAAGCTCTTTAACAAAGTTTTAGTAGACTATAAAAAAAAACTCAAATTTATCAATTTTATTACACATAATACTATCTACTTCATGCTAAGAAAAATGCTTATTGCCCAATACTAAATTAATATTAACTTTGTCAAAATCTCACCAAAGCTTGTATACAAGGCTATTTACTATACCAAAAACTTTTTAAAATCAAAAACACAAATAAAAAAAACTTAAAAAAAATTAAAATACAAGTAATCAATGTATTTGAAAGCAAACTAATTTTTTTATCTAATCTATCTAAACAAATCTCTAAAGAAATAGTTAATATCCTGTTATTTAAGCTTTTTATTATACAATAGTTATATATCAGAGCCATGGTAAATACTTTAAGAAGAATTTTTAAGTTTCTAATCTTTTAAAAACTTATTTTGCAAACCCTTTGTCTTTTCTTTTCTACTATAATAAACTTATACCTAATCTATACTAGCTATTTTCTATTTTTTATTGCTCTGTACTCTAACACCTTGCTACATATAAAAAAAACCAGCAAATTTTTATATTATATTTAAGATTTCTGATTTTCACTTCAATCTACTACAACTTTAACAATCTTTTTTTACAATATACAAAGAGCTTAATTCAAAAGTTTATTTATTCTCAATTTTAAATCTTACTGTTTGTATATACAATATCAAAAGCTTTAATATAGCTACTAAAAAAGAAACTTGGGAGCATTGCTATTTTCTTTATAACTTTAATATCATTAGTATTACCAAAACCAGATTAGCTAGCAGAATTTATACTACTATTAAATCCTATAAAATATAATACTATATCTATTTCTAGTTATATACTAATAGTTTTAAAGAGTATAGTCTTATTTTTAATATTAAAAAAAAAAACCAATAGTTCTAAAGCAAAAACTGCTATTATAATCTAAAACTATTTTGCTTCATATATTTATAATATGGGTTTAAGTTTTTAGTGCATCTGCACTGTAGTGTACCCTAATTTTAGCTAATAAAAAATAGTAAAATTCGTGCTATATTACACTAAATTTTACAAAAAAACTAAAAAAAATCAAATATTTAAGATTTGTATTAATAAAAAGTTTAAAAATTACAAATTTGATACAATTAAAAATGTAATTTAACCTGCTGAACAAGTTTACTTAAGAAACAAAAGATAGTTATCTAAGTAAAAAAAAAGAGCTAGCATTAGATTAAAGTTTAAAAAAACTTTTAATTATTATATAACTTTTTTTTTATTAAAAAATCTATTTTTGTTTTCTAAATAAACCTGTTTTTTAGACTATTTTATATATGAGGCCTTTGCTAGGAAAATCAGGTTTTGGAACCTCTTAACCAAAAATAAGATTTTAACAGTATATTAATCTTTAGTATAAGAATTGCACTTTGGTATAATTTTTAGGCTAGATTATCTTAATATGAAAGTGGATTTTTTTAATTCTGGATTTTTTTAATATAAGATCTAAAAATAGAATTGGATAATGCCTTGTCACGTAAAATTGATCGTCAGAGTTCTTTTTTATTGGCCAATCATTATCTCTAAATATAAATTTTTTATCGTATTTCAGTATTTTACTAGAACATCGCAAATACGTGTCCTGTTGCTGGCTTTTCTTATCTTTCTTACCATTTTTTAATTTTCACATCTTAGACTTTCTCTAGTTCTTAGTCTTTATTTCAAGCTGATCTTTTCATCAGATCCTTGTTGCTTTGGGTATCTTGGTCTTTGAGTTCTTGATTTCTGAATTAGACTAGGAGTTCCTTGATTTCTTACTTCGGGTTCTCTATCACCACTCAGGTTTATTAATCTTGCTTCAGGTTTTTCAATCAGTCTTGCGTTCTTTGATCTTTGCTCTGAATTCTTTGTTACTATTTAGATTCTTAATTTATTATCTTTGTTTTAGATTTTTATTTCTGTTTCAGGTTTTTTATTGCTGCTTTGCATTCCTCGATCTCTCTTTGGATTCTCTGTTACTATTTGAGTTCTTGATCTCTGAATCAGGCTTTTTTTATTTTTTTAGATTTCTTGAGTTTTTCGATCCTTGCTTCAGATTTTTTGTCACCAACTTGGGTTCTTTGATCTCTGCTTCAGGTTTTCTGTCTCTGTCTTGGATTCTTTAATCTTTGCTTGGGGTTTTTGTCACTTTCTTGAATTTTTTTATCTATGTTTCAGGGCTTCTGTTACTGTCTCTGGGTTTTTAAGCTCTATTTCAAGTTTTTTGTTTTTACATCAGGTTTTCTGTTGTTATCTCAGATTCTTTAATCTCTGTATCTAAGTTTATAGTGCTACTTTGGATTCTTTGATCACTGTATCAGATTTTCTGTCACTGCTGCAGATTCAGATTCTCTAGTCACTACTTCAGGTTTTTTATCACTTCCTCGGACTCTCATTGTATTTTACTTTTACTATAGTTTAATTTTTTTTTTATTATAATACATTGTTAGTAAGTTATTTACTAAAAAAATCTATTAATTTAGGGTGTTCTCAAGCACCTCAATAGATCAGAAGCAAATTTTTAATAGTCAGAAATTGAATAAATTAACCAAGTAAGCTGTCATCTCAATGAACAGATTAATGAGCTACAAACTATCTTTTTTCTTTAAAAATTTACTATTGATAAAGGTCGCTCAAGCATTACTTTTAGATTATTGCATTTTTTGCATAACAAACCTTTATAAATATGAATTCTCAACAAATTTCTAACTGGTTTAAAAAATAGCCACTTTATTTTTAATTCTCAAGGCTTTAAAGCAAATAATCAATACCTCGATATGAATATAATAGATACAACTCATATTTTATAACCTTTAATAAAACTATAATAAATACTGCTATTACATTTTTCGTTCCATATTTTAATGTATAATGAAAATCATAACTCTTTGAGTACATTTTCTTATTTTTCAATATGAAATAGCTACTGCAAAATTACTATTGATTGACTATAAACAAAAATTATTTAAAAATATACTGTATTATTAATGAAAAAAAGTTTACTTCTTGTTAACATAAAGCAACTTTCACTAACAGTTCCATTAGTTAATTTCATTGCAACAAAAAATTTAAATTAGTAAAATCATTAAAAAAAGAAGCTAGCGCAACTGAAGTTAAAACTTCGGTGGTTGGAAAATTTTTTATTAAGTTTTTTTAAAAGATATAGCAAAGATTATAAAAAGTATACTCAAGTATTTAATTCTATAAATATTGTTATTGATTTTGATGCTTGAGCGTTATCATGATCATTATTTGATCAATTGATTGAGATGATTAAGAACACCTGAACTATTTTTTTACTAATTAAAAAATTGAACTTCGATCTATTAATTTAGCTAGTGAACACCCTCAATTTATAACTAATTAAAAATTATCTTTTGATTCATTGATTAAGGTGCTTGAGGACACCCTTATTAATAAAATAAATTTTATTTATTTTTATCTTCAGTTTTTTCTGAATTTGCACAATATACATCTTTGTATGGATTATCTACATATTGTCTAATTTTTGTAAATAAATAGTATTTTCTTTCTTTTGCTAATAATTTAATAGGAATAGTTTTTAGTGTAGTATTAATATCAAAATTATTCTCACGTAATAGTTGAAATGAAATTTCTAATCCGCCTGATTCAGTTGATGCATAAACTTTTCCAATATCTATAGATAAACTACTAAATCTAAAATGATAGTATTGTCTTATATTGGGAAAATTTTTAAAATGAGTTTCAAATAATGAAAAAAAATTGTACCAAGTCCAACCTAATCCATTATTATTTAAAATTGGTTTGTTTTCTTTTGAAGAATTATTAATAACATGTTCAATATCGCTTATTGTATTAACTCTATAATTTCGATATACCTTTTTAATTTGACCAAAAAAGAGTCACAAATAAATTTTGTATAATCTAGAATCATAAAGTTAATTGTAATTTCCTAATACCAACCTAACATTGTTAATTAACAATAAAAAAAAAGAGATAAATTATTTTTATTCTGACCGTTACAGTTGTTACATGTTATATGTAATTTTTTTTTTTTAAGTGTAAATTTCTGAAGAAACCAATAAACCATATTGAGAGTAGTATTTGCACCCTTCGAAATACCTTCTGGAAATTCATCTTTGCCTATTACATAATTTAGTTGAAAATTTTGGCCTCCTTCTGTTTTATATACTCCAAATAAATGCACAGAAAATAGATTTTTAAAGTAAATTGTTCCTACTTGTTGTGGTGAGTACGGAATTGATATACACTGTGCCCAATCATAACAAACATGTGTGATAAATAAATCTTTTGTACTCTTAGCTATATTATCATTATAATGTTGCCTTTCTTGATCTGCTGCAATGTGATGCCGATCATATATACTTTTAATTTGATTATATTTTTCTATATCTGCTTTTGCTACTATTAATTTAGCTTTAAAAGTTTTGCAAACTTTGCAAAGATCACTTGCAGGTGGTTGAAATTTGAGATAAGGAATTATTTTATACCAAAGTCTTCTAAATATACAATAGGAAATAACTTTAGTATTTTCACCATTTTCTTTATTAAAATATTCTTTGAATTCATTATAAACTGAAGTATACATATTTCCAGTAGGTAAATAAATAAACGGTTCTGATTTATTTTTATATTTCATAGGAGACAGAAGTCTATTAATATTTTTATACTGTTTTAAAAAACATTTAACTGAAAATGTAATACTAGAATCAAGATATATTTTACTTTTTAATTTAGGTATATGTCCAGTATTTCTATGAGTTCTTTAGTTAGCCCATTCTCTTGTAAATGTTTTTAAATTGCTAAAAGAAAATGATCATTTATTCCACAAAGCTTTAGAAATACTGGTTTACAAAGTAATAAAGACGCATTATAGTTATATCTATAATTTTATCTTTGAGATTCTACATTTTTATTATTAATTTCAAAGGCCATTAATTGCGCTTTTAAAAATAATACAAGTTCTGATTTTTCTTTTCCTCTTATTTGAAAAAATCTTTCAAAAAAATTTTTAAATCTGACTTTTTCATAACAGGTTCTTAAATCTTTTTGTCTAGGTATATGACGACATGTACAGTTTGAATATTTTTTAAAAAATTGCATTAGATCGTGAACTGTGTTAAGAACTAATTCATTGTCTTCATATTTTTCTAATCCCAGTTCAATTAAATTATATACTGGTTTTAAAAAATTTGAATCTAAATTATCTACACTTAAATCTTCAGACAAAGACATAAAAGATATAAATATATAAAGTAAAATATTATCAAACAAAAAATTTTTTTATTGTTTAAACATACTAAATACGTATTCTTTAAATATATACAGTTGATATGGTCTAATTGTATACTGTCTAATAATTACATATATTTTAGTTTTAACTATTAACACAAAAATGGTTCTTATAAGTTTTTTTACATAACTCTCTCCGTTTATCACTCGTACACAAACTCTCTCCAACCTTATTAATTAAAAACAGCTTATAACTTCTTTTTATACTAAGTCAATCTTAGTTCTGCTACTAAATAAACTTGTTCTTCATACAAAAATACATATAATATCTAAGTATTAGCTTTAAATCTTCCAAACTCATCGAAAAACGGCCGTTTGGCCTTTTTTCTTAAAAATCGTAAATAACTTAAAAACTGCTATCTAAACCTCCATCTCAAGCTTAAGAAAACTTACAGAGCTCACTGCTCTCGTCATAACAAGCTATAGCTCACGCTTGTAGACCCAAAACTGACGAAGCTACGCCCAAAAAACTCCAAACTCCCTTTAGTTTTCTTTTTTTTTCTTTTGCCTTTTGCCCCCTAAAAAACACTTAGATACGTTTTCTGTGTAACTCTCTACTGCGCAACCCACATTGCCTGGGCTCCAAATCTTAGTGGTTTATCTCTCATTACACTAACTATATTTAATTTTCTTTTAATTTAGCACAAGATTAAAACCTAAACAAATTTGGTTATATTAAATTTAAAACAGAGTAACCTTTAGCACCAACCAAATTAACGTAACACATATACCTGTAGCACGTGTAGATCGGACCCGTCACTACCCGGCACCCTGTGATTATTCGTCACACCCTGTGCTTATTCGTCACACCCCTGTGTTTATTTGTCACACCCTGTGCTTATTTGTCACACCCCTGTACTTACTTGTCACACCCCATACTTACTTGTCACACCCTATTATTATTTGTCACCCCCTCAAAGTACCTTATATCTATATCTTAATCAACAATGCCTACCTTAACCAACCAAGAGCCAGACACCCTCGATCTTGATCATTTCTATCAAAAC